AATTTGAATAAATCAATTTAGAACAATGTTTAAATTATATCTTCATTTTTAAAAGCATTACTGTTGTAGAATATTAGTTAAAGATGTGTTACATTTATTTATGCTGTTGAACATTTGTTTAATGAGGCAAAGATGTGTTGCATTCTTTTATGCAGCATTTGTTTAACTCTGTGAAGCTGTGTTACTTTGCTTGTCTAAAATACCTGATTGGTCTAATAAAGAGCTGAATGGCCAGTAGCAAGGTGGGAGAAAGGATAGGCGGGGCTGGCAAGCAGGGGGAGAAATCTGGGAAGAGAAGAGATCTAGGAGCAAGAGAAGGAAGACTCCAGGGCCAACCACCCAACTACACAGCAAACCATGGAGTAAGAAGTAAAGAAAGGTATATAGGATAAAGATAAAAGCCCAGAGGCAAAAGGTAGACCGGATAATTTAAGTTAAGAAAAGCTGGCTAGAAACAAGTCAAGCATTCATAAAAAAGAATAAGCCTCCATGTATGATTTATTTGGGAGCTGGATGGCAGGCCCCCCCAAGAGAGCAAAGAGTAAAAAACAACCAATAACACATGACAAAGACCCATCCATGTCTGCAAGCATGGTTGTGCATACCTACAATCCCAGCCCTTAGGAGGTGGAGACAGGAGGATCAAGGAGTTCAAGGCCATAGAGAATTTGAGGCCATCCTGGGCTATATGAAATCCAATCTGAAACAACAAAAACAGTAATTACAAAGACCCACCCATGTAGTAAGGTTCCCCAGCAAGGAGGGAACTACATCTACTACAAAGCACCTTATAGAGGGCTAGCCTACACAATGGAACAGCCAAGTCTCCAACTAGCAATTCCAACTGTGCAAAGCGACCATCTTCCCAGCTCCAGAGCCAAGACAGAAAGGTAGATAACAAACAGCAAGAAACAGCAACCATTCAAAACTGGATTTACACAATTTGATTCAGAAATTTAACATAAACTTTCATTTGAAAATCTCAATTTTTCTAAGCACAATTTTATCACTTCCAAAAAATTTTTAATTAAAAAACCACAACAAGCCGGGCGGTGGTGGCGCACGCCTTTAATCCCAGCACTCGGGAGGCAGAGGCAGGCAGATCTCTGTGAGTTCGAGGCCAGCCTGGGCTACCAAGTGAGTTCCAGAAAAGGCGCAAAGCTACACAGAGAAACCCTGTCTTGAAAGAAAAAGAAAAGAAAAAAGAAAAAAAAAAAAAAAACACAACAAGCCAGGCCTTTAATCCCAGCACTCGGGAGGCAGAGGCAGATGGATCTTTGTGAGTTCAAGGCCAGCCTGGTCTACAAAGCGAGTTCCAGGAAAGGCGCAAAACTATACAGAGAAACCCTGTCTCGAAAAAGCAAAAACAACAACAAAAGATTACTACTGGTAAGCCAGGCCATGGAGCAGATTTTTCCTGCATCCAGTGCCAAACAACAAGCTGGAGCACAGGTATTGCTGACAATCAATTTACAGGTAGGAAACTAAGGTTCTCCACAATCCCTCAGACATCAGGTAGTTGGCAAAAGGGACTCTGTCACTCTAGCTTCATAAAAGAGCTTCTCTGGCTGGTGAGATGGCTCAGCAGGCTGGACGGCCCGGTTCGATTCCCAGAACCCAGATCAGTTGTCCTCTGACCACACGTGTGGCACATGTGCACCTGCCCACACAGGACTTCCTACCAGTACCAGCATGCTGAAGGGTGAGGCTCCCACTCTTCCCTCCACCTGCCTACCTTCTCCAGGACCTGCCCAGGCTTCCTGCCTGCCCTCCACTCCCAAATCCTCGGAGCATATTCACAACTTTTTGCTTTTAGATGACTGCAAATTCTTCTATAGATACAAGAAATAACGATGAGTGATCCCCACATATCCTTGACCTGGTTTCCCCAGAGTTAGCACCTGATGTGACTACAGTACAGTGTCACCTACACTACTGTCCTTCCTCTCAATAATTTTCACTTCCTAACATTGCTATTAACATAGTTTTATAGTTTTTTGTTTGTTTGTTTGTTTGTTTGTTTTCTTTTTGTTTTTCGAGACAGGGTTTCTCTGTGTAGCTTTGTGCCTTTCCTGGAAATTACTCTGTAGCCCAGGCTGGCCTCGAACTCACCAAGATCCACCTGGCTCTGCCTCCTAAGTGCTGGGATTAAAGGCATGCACCACCACTGCCTGGCAGTTTTATAGTTTTTTAATTGTCTGTGGGTACCCAATAAAGAACTTCTTACAGGCAAGATGATTGTTCATTAAATTATTTATCAAATTATATAAATAATCTTTATCTAAATTACCTCCCAAGTGCAACCCATAGATAAGCACTGGATAAACAGCAGCTGACTGAGTAACAGCACTGGAATGCACTGTTGCCTCCCTTCACAATAATGGGAACAGTTCTTCAAAAGACCAATTTGTTGAGAGGAGTCTGAAACAAAAACATAACACTCACCCATGGTGACATAAGGTAATTTATCAGTTGATCCATGAGGATAGATGCTGTAGAGATGAGGTCCAGTAACATCTACTCCCCCCAAAACTAGGGCTGCACCAATGTAACCTTGATACCTGGGAATCAGAATAGACACAAGAAAAAAATGAGTTCAGATAACATCACTGTAGCTTAGACAGAAGCTGCAAGTCAGAGAAGAGTTTTGCTTACATGTTTCATTAAGGAGTTACTGCTTGCAAGGGAACCAAGCAGGGCAGGGAACTAAAATCAGTTAAACATCTACAATTTGCCACTGTAAACTGTGAGGTATACTACATGACTCACTGCAGCTCAGCCACCAAAGCCACCTTTTACAAAGCACTATCATTCCCATTTTATTTAAGAAAAAAAGGGAGGGAGGGAAGGAGAGAGGGAGGGAGGAGGAAAAAACAACAACAATCACAAATCAAAAAAGCTAGGAACATGGAGAATTTGTTTGGTGTTCCTGAGTCAAGGATGGCTTATTCCAAAGCCTATCACACTGTCCCCTTCAGCTCCCTGGGGTGGGCTGATAAGCTAGCCGGCGAGTCAGTTAACAGTGAGGAGCTGCTGTGTTCAAGCTGTTCTAACAAGCAGTCTCCACAGACAGTGGTTCATGTCACAACACCCTTCCCTCTGAATCAACAGCCCACCACACAATAATCACAAATGCCAAGTAAAAGCGGGAAGTATTTCATTCTTCATGGCCTAAGAAGCTCTACTGACTCACAGAAGAAAGCTAGTTGTTCAGAAACCCCACCTGCCCCCCTCCCTGTAACTGTGCACACAGGTTTGGAACATTTGCTCAACTCTTGACCTAGCTGGTTATTTCCACAAGTTCCTTTCCCTGTACTGGCTCAGATTTTCACCATCAGGATTGCTGTGCTAGATGAACATGTTGGATTTCAAGTTTTCCACTCTGAACCTTTAGCTCTTTGACAAGAAAAAATGAAACCAACATATGCTGAACTCTCTGTACTAATCACTAAAACACAAATAAGGAGCACAAAAGCAATACTATTGCTCAGACTAGAAGGGCTCCATGACATCCAGAAGCACAACTGTGAAATCCAGGATTTCCTCTGGCCCGTAATCACCAAACTGCTGACAATCTAACATTTTTAAAGTGGGAAATTAAAGGCTAGGAAAGAATTTTAGGAGCAGCCTGAAGAGAGGCCAGAGATGGCTCAGTAGATAAAGGTTCCTACTGCCAAGCCTGATGATCTGAGGTTCACTCCCCAAGACTTACATGGTGAAAGGGGAAAATTAATTCCTCCTCCAAGATGTCCTTTGACCTCTTCCACATGTGTCCCATGACATGCACACACTCAGACACACACACACACACTAAAAAGATGTAATTAAAAAATTTTGTAAGTTGTTTTAAAGTAGCTGGAGAGATGGCTCAATGGTTAAGGGTAAGTACTGCTCTTGCAGAGGACCCAAGTTTAGTTCCCAACACGCACATCAGGAGGCTTACAACTGCCTATAAGTTTGGCTCCAGACAGACTTCCAAGGGTTCTTGTACCTGAATACACACACACTCCACACCCACACTCCAAACCCACACTCCACACCCACATACACACACAATTAAAAACAATTTTTTAAGAATCGGTATTTATTATTTATGTATTTTGCAAGGCGTAGCAGCCTGAAGAGGGAACATAGGCCCACATGATGGAAATTGCTGGTCTAAGGCTTGTTAGCAACAGAGTCAAAACTGGAGCCTGAGAAACTGCACAGAAAAGCCAGAATGGCTGGATGCACTGTGCCCTGCATTGTTGAACCTGTTCCACTGCCTGCTGAGGAGGGCATCTGAATGAATAGATAGATAGATAGATAGATAGATAGATAGATAGATAGATAGATAGATAGATAGATAGATAGATAGATAGATAGATATTTCCCTCCGGGCTATAATACCTTGGTATTATAGGTATCATGCCTTCAACGTTTAATTTGTTCCACTGATGACCTTGGGGTACCAGCCCCTAGGATGTGGCCTCGTCTAGCTTAAGATCTGAGAAGTAGGTGTTCAGGCCCCTTCTCTCAAGAGCACTTAAGATGGTGAAGACCAGGCCAGGTGATGTGAAACAGTGTGGAACCGGTTCTCCACCTTCTAGGGACTCTGCGACTGAAATTGCCATATCCTCTATCAGTGAGTTATTCCCCAAACAACCCCTTAATAAACAGATTATCAGTAGCCATGGATTTCAATTTCTGTATTAGACAAGTGACTGGCATCCTTAAAATCTGAATCAGAGGGTAAAGTTTAGTAGCAGAGCACATGCCTAGGATATGAAGGCCTGGGTTTAAACTCCAGCACTGAGATAGTAACACAAAAGCCTTGATCCAGAAATCCTACTTCCAGGTCTCCAGTCCAAGAATATGTAAGAGAAATATACAGAAATGTGTTTATCACAGCACTGTTAGTGACTGACGTAACAGCAGCTGGAGAAATGGCCAAATAAACTGTTATACATGAGACCATTAAGAACCATACCTTTTCTCATTCACTATTGATTATGGAACGATCTTCCGGTTCTGACAATGTATATCGAAGGCTAAATCTGCCTTTATGAATCATGGAATTTTTTGGAGCAAAGGAACTCATTCTAGAATATAGCAACCACCCAAAGATTCATGGAAACATCTTCATGTGAGCAATACCATTAATGTTCAAAAATTGATTACTGTAACATAAGACAACACTAAAATTATATATGATTATATAGTTCAATATATATATGTATATTGCTAACATACATTGATAGTTGGTACTTAAAATTTTTGTGAGTCAGCTCTCTTTGAAAATTTACTAAAATTCAGGAACCTTTGCCTCTAACAGGTATACACACTTAAATATTTTCTTACTTCATGTGGTTCTAGGTCTCTAGAACTCTTCCCTGGGCTCAAGAGAACTCATGGGTCTGAGCTCTCTAACAGCAACAATATACACAATACATACAGCATTGTATACAGGGCAAGCTATAAAGAAATACATGTATTAGCATGTCATTCCTGTTAATGCATGAACATGAGGCTGTGGGTAAAGCATAAAAGGTCTGAAAAAAATTCAAATAAAAAACTTTAGAGCCACATAGTGGTGGTGCACACCTTTAACCCCAGTACTCGGGAGGCAGAAGCAGGTGGATCTCTGTGAATTCAAGGCTAGCCTGGGCTACAGAATGAGTTCCAAGATAGGCTCCAAAGCTACACAGAAAAACTGTCTCAAAAAAAACCAAACAAACAAACTTTAGCCCCATTGCAGACACTGTATCAGTCATATGCATGTCTGTGTGGATGCATAAGCACCATGCTGCACATGTGGAAGTCAGCAGACAACTTACAGAAGTCTGTTCTCTCCTCCACCATGTGGGTTCTGAACTGCCAAACTCAGACTTTTGGGCTTGGCAAGCAGGTGCCTTTATCTGCTTAGCTAGCTCAGCCTCTCTTTCTTTATCCCCTGTAAGTCAAGGAGACAAAAACTATCACTGGCATTTTCCAAGAAAAAAAAACTTATCCTTAAAAGTGTAAAACAGCCCATTGGTAGTGGCCATGACTTTACTTCCAGTATGGGAGGCAGAGACATATGGATCTCTGTGAGTTCAAGGCTAGCCCGGTCTACAAAGCAAGTTCCAGGACAGCCAGGGCTACACAGAGAAACCCTGTCTTGAAAAAAAAAAAAAAAAAAAAAAAAAAGTGTAAGATGACAGGCAGAGGCAAGCAAATCTCTGAGTTTGAGGCCAACCTGGTCTACAGAGTGAGTTCCAGGATAACCAGGGCTACACAGAGAAACCCTGCCTCAAAAAAATAAATAAATGCGCTGGGAGTCTAATTAGCGAGAAAGAGAAGGGTTTATATGAGCGAGAATTGTTGAAACCAAGGTTGGATAAAGCACAGGGACAAATAGCCAAACGAATGGAAACACATACACTACGAACCAAAGGCTGAGGGGCCCCCAACTGGATCAGGCCCTCTGAATAGGTGAGACAGTTGATTGGTTTGATCTGTTTGGGAGGCATCTAGGCAGTGGTACCAGGTCCTGGGCTCATTGCATGAGTTAGCTGTTTGAAACCTAGGACTTATGCAGGGATGCTTGGCTCAATCTGGGAGGAGGGGACTGGACCTGCCTGGACTGAGTCTATCAGGTCGATCTCAGATCTCAGGGGAGGCCTTGCTCTGGAGGAGATGGGAATCGGGGGTGGGCTGGGGGGAAGAGGAGGGGGGCAAGAAGGGGGAGAACAAGGGAATCCGTGGCTGTTATATAGAACTGAATAGTATTGTAAAATAAAAAAAAAAAAAAATTAAAAAAGAAAAATAAATAAATTAAATAAATAAATAAATAAAATTCCAAGATCCCAGGCTGGGTAGTGGTGGCACACACCTTTAATCCCACCACTCAGGAGGCAGAGACAAGCAGATCTCTGAGTTCGAGACCAGCCTGGTCTACAGAGTAAGTTCCAGGACAGTCAGGCTACACAGGAAAACCCTGTCCCAAAAACCAAAAAAAAAAAAAGGAAGTCTAAGATGGAGCTAGAGGAATGTCTTAGCAGTTAGGAGTGCTTGATGCTTACAGAGGACTTGAGTCCAGTTCTCAGCATCCACATCAGGTGGCTCACAACTGCCTATAACTCCAGCTCCAAGGATCCAACACCCTACTCTGTCCTCTGTGCGTGCATCACACAAAATCACGGCTGGCAGTTCTTGACCCAGAGCACTACAGATGCAAAGTCTTTTTCCTTTAAAACACTCTTACTTTATGTAACTCACCCAAAATGTTACCAGATACAAAGGACAATACTACCTTGGTTTAAATTTTTCAATGCTCCTCTCAAAACATTTGACAAAATTTAACTCTGGCCAGGCATGGTGATACACACTTTCAATTCCAATACTTGGGAGGCAAAGGCAGTAGATCTCTGTGAGTTCAAAGCCAGCCTGAACTGGTTCCAGGTTAACCAGAGATACAGTGACACCCTGTCTCACAAAATAAGTAAATAAATAATCTTTACAAACTGTACTAAATAAAAATGAACCACTGGAGAGAAAAAAGAGACTGTAGAAACCTTAAAACACTATAGAGAGAGTAAATATTTTTAAATTATTTTGCTAAATGCCTTAAATAACAAGCATGAAACTGTTCTATATGCAATAGGCTATATGAGCCACCAGAGGGAGCTTTATATTTAAAACTAATACCTAGATATATTTTTTTAAATCAGTGTCTTATATGGTCAGCTGGTCTCACGCTGTAACTGGAGCATTTATTTGGCGGCAATAATCCCCTGCGTTAGCGGTGGCTTCATATACCAAGCACTGAGCAGCAGAGGAGAGTTAACTCAACAGGCCTCTTGCCTGTGGCTCGGGCTTCTGCGGTCTCCTCTGTAGAGTACGTCACTACCCTCCCTGCACAGACCCACTGAGAATACAAAGCTATGCTACAAGGACCTCAAATTCTCAGGAAAGCCAGCGCACAAGGACAATTAAACAGAGTCAAAAAAGGGATATGACAAATATATTCCTAAGCCAAAGGTGACATTGACCACACAATCCCTGAAAGTTACTGCCACATTATCCTACCTTCATTCTATTTTTTTTTTAAATTTTTTATGTGAGTTGGTATTTTGCCTACATGTATTTTTATGTGAGGGTGTAGAATCGAGTGGAATTGGAGTTACAGACAGTTGTGAGCTGCCATGTAGGTGCTGGGAATTGAACCTGGGTCCTTTGGAAGAGCAGCCAGTATTCTTAATCACTGAGCTATTTCTCCAGTCCCTAATTTAAAAAAAAAAAAGACAGAAATTTGTATTTTTAATTTAAATCTCCCAATTTATAATTATTGGTTTCTATTTTATTTTAAATGTCATGTGACCTATATAAACCTTTTTTGACCAATGATCTCACGACATTTATAGGGCAGGTCTCTGAAAAGAATGGATGCCCTAAAAGACAGGCCCAGGAAAGCAGGCATTATTTCCACTATAACAGACCTGTGAGGGCTGATCTTGGTGGTCAACTAACACACCTGGGAAGAGGGAACCTCAACTGAAGAACTGCCTCCATCAGATTGGCCTAAAGGCACTTTTCTTGATTACTAGTTATGCAGGAGAGCCCAGCCCACTACAGGCAATACTGTTCCTAAGCAAGTGGTTCTGAACTATATAAAAATCTAGCTGGGCGTTGGTGGCACACATCTTTAATCCCAGCACTCAGGAGGTAGAGCCAGGCAGATCTCTGTGAGTTTGAGGCCAGCCTGGTCTAGAGAGATACAGGACAAGCACCAAAGCCACACAGAAAAACCCTGTCTCAAAAAACAAAAAAAAAACAAAAACAAAATCTAGCTAAGCCAGTCAGAAGGAGCAAGACAACCAGCAGTGTTCCTATGTGGTTTCTGCTTCAGGCTCCTGACCTGATCCTGCCTTGGTTTTCCTGTAAGATATAACCTGTAAGATGAGGTTAAACCCTTCCCTTCCCAAATTGTTTTTGGTAAGGGTGTTTATCACAGCAACAGAAAAGCAAACAAGAAAAATACTGCTTCCCATTCATGTAGAGTAAATGAGAAAACCAACTAAGGACTTTAAAACTTTTAAACTCGGGGAGGCAGAGGCAGGCCAATCTCTGTGAGTTCAAGGCCAACCTGGTCAGCAGAGTGAGTTCTAAGACAGCCAAAACTACACAGAGAAACCCTGCCTCCAAGGGGGGAAAATTTTAAAACCATCAAAACCTATACAAACATAAAGTATAATGGGATCACTGAAGGGGAAAAGAAGCAAAACTCCTATAAGCTGTGTGTGGGAGTTAGCAAAGAACGAAGTTTAAATCATGACTTACTACGGCTCATTAAGCCTCAACTTGTTTATTTATAAACAGGACACAGCAATAGCCCTTACCTCAGAGCTAAAAGGAAATAGGAGACAGTGCACAGAGCACTTCAGCAAGGGTCTACAAGACCAGGAGGGAGAGACTAGATGAAATCAGTGTTGTTTTACCCACTTATATGTGAATACAAGTCATTTCTCACTTTGTTGCTAAAAAAAGGAAAGAAAAAGCCATTTGTGTTTAAGTGCTGGGGAAATGGGTAGGATTTATAAGACAAACTCAAAGTACCATTTTACTGTGAACAAAAGTTGTCTTATGCAGTAATAGCTCTATGCTTCAAGAAATTACTCTACTGGCCACAATTCAGGGAAATCATCACCATAAGATACATCAGACCATACAATCCATTTAATTATCAAATGTCTTAACAATTAAAAAAAATGGCAGCCAGGAGGTGATGTGAATGACTTTTATCCCAGTACTCAAGAGGCAGACACAGGCAGATCTCTGTGAGTTCAAGGCCAGCCTGGACAACCAAGGGTACAGAGAAACCCTATCTCTAAAAATAAACCAACCAACCAACAAACAAAAAAATTAAAAATGGCTTCTAATTGATTTCTGGAACAAAATGTGTTCTTCTAAATATTTTCCCCCCTAATTTCCAGGGTTCCTTGTGCTAAAAATCTAAGATTAAAAAAAAAAAAAAAAAAAAAAACGATATTACAGAAATCCACACCTTGGAACCTTACCTAAAAAGCATCTGCTTCAACATCCGATTAGCAGTCACAACTCTCGGAAGGCGGCCAGTGGTGAGAGAGTGGAGCTCCAAGTTGGAAG